GTCGGGGCCTTCGGGTTCTTCGGAGCCCTCAGAGCCTTCTTCATCTTCGGGTTCAGCTAGCTTCTTGGCCTCGACCTTAAGTTTTTTCACCTCCTCGATCTCGGTCGGCAGGTCGAAGCCTCGGGCATGGATCTCTTTAAGGGTCTCCCTCCGGGATAGCCACCTCACATACTCAACAGTAGTCGTCAGGCGAGCCTCGGCTTATTCGACATCAGCCCTATACAGGGCCACCATCTCTTCAGCATCGGCGGAGATTATGTGTAGCTGAGACTTGATAGCTTCACATTCGTTACCGAAGGCGTCCTACTCTGGCAAAGTCGAGCTCAATTGTGATCGGAGTTCATCATTCAACTGGGACCATTAGTCGTCTTTTTCTTTCGCTACCCGGAGTTGAACCTCTACCGATGCTAGTTGTGCATGGGCGGTTTCCTTCTCCAAAGCCAGCCTATCCATTTTCCTCTTCCAACCATCAACCATGGCTTGGACCTCATTCATTTCATCTCGGAGTTGGTCGATCCAGTCAATTTTCTGTTGAACATACCAGGTTTAGTCATTAGTTGCCATGGCTAAGTCTTCATTGCTAACTTCAAAAACCTTTACATTTTCGACCAGATCGACATGTTCCTGCCTCAGGATCGAAGCCTCATTCTGAGCCTCATCCAGCTCGGCATGTAGGTCCTTGATGGCCCCTTCGTGTTACTCGTTGAGAAGCTTGTACATATCTCTTTTCTGGGCAAGCTCCTTGACCTCAAGCTCAAGCTAGTTAACCTCGGTCCAGTACCGAAGAAAGCTTTTGTGATGAAGTACCGAGGCCTGTAAAACAGTTAACAAAAAATATGAGAATATCAAAAACTAAGTCAAAGTTAGAAAGAGCATATTGATGTCTTACCCGATTCAGCGCCTGATGCACTTCGTTGAACAAAACCGACACGTCCACCTCATTTATTTTCGCCTCGTCTTCTTCGGTCACCAGGCATTGGAGGTGGCTCGCTACTCCTACAGGAGCAGAAAGAACCGAGGCATCCTGCGGGACAGTGATGATTATCGACCTCTTACAGTCGGGATCCACACTCGGGGAGGGAAACTGGTTGATTAACTTTGGGCTCGAGTTCAACCCGCCGACTTTTGAAGACAGATCCTTTCTCGGCACTTCCATGTCGCTCGGCCCGAAAAAGTCATCCAAGACGGACGTCCATGCCATGAGCCCCTTCGTTAGACCTCTACTTTCCTACGCGGGCCTCCTCGAGCATGGACTCGGTATAGGAAGGTGACCCTGAAGTCTCTATTACATCGGGCGCTTCCTTCAGAGCATAACCGGCATCCCGGAAAGTCTCAGCCCCGGTCTCCTCATCAACCTCCTGGGTCTGAGGGAGATAGACCTCATGAATCTCATCCTACACAACTTTTTGCTCCTCGGGAGAAGTCGGCCCGTGGGTCACAAAAGAATCGTCTTCCTCGGGCTCATCCCTGAGCTGTAAGAGCGAGTCCAAGTCAAGTGCTCGGGAGCTAGAACTTTCCATTGGCTTACGGGCCAACCTTTTCTTTGGCTTCTTCTTCTCTAATCTCAGGGAGCCCGAAGCCTTCCTTTTCTTTTTTTTCCCCGCTCCATCCCCGAGCTGCCCAAAGCGGAGGGGTCAACGGACAAGGACACATCCTCGTCCCCTTCTGAAGGCCTGAGTTCAATGGTCTTAGGCAAACCTTCAAGAAAAAAAGTGAAGAAAAGAGAGTGAGTACGATGCGAATGGGAGAGCCTGATGTTACATTCTCGGGGAAGGGTCTTACCATGAGAACGGGCCTCCTACCGGGCCCTCGATAGTTTGCGCCGTGTGCGCTCAGAAAAAGGCATCTGTGAACACATGCCCTCGATCCACTCCTTGAGCAAAGGGATAGCGTTTGGGACTCGAGCGACGACTGCACCACCACAAGTACTAGTGAGAAAAAAAAGGAGATGAATGTAAAATTGGCGCTCAAAAGGAAACTGTACTTACGAGATGCATTCCACTTCTTAGGGGATGGCATGAACTCGAGGGGAATCAAGTCTTTGGTCTTCACCCGAACAAAGCGTCCCTGCCATCCCCAGTACTAGTCCTCATCGATACTCGAGAATGGGGATTTGCTGGCCCGTCGTGTGAGTCCCCCTCGGAAGATTCTGGGACTGTACTGGTGGAGTAGGTGATTATGGTAAACCGACGAGATTCGATCTTGTTCACGAAGTAATGAAGGAGGATTACGTCCCTCCACAACGACGTGTGGATCTGACCGAGGCAAACTTCGTACCTCCTGCAGAAGTCCAAGATAACCGGGTCCACTGGGCCCAATTTGAAGGGGTAAGTGTAAACACTTAGATACCCCACCACATGGGTAATGATGGTGTCCTCAGGCCCGGGGACTACTACGTCCTTATTAGCCCAATTGCAGTTCTCTCGGACCACGGGAAGGACGTCTTCAGTAATGGAGGCTCGGGAGCGGGATCATCGGTAGCCGCACTAGGAGCAGACGTCTCGAGGATGACTTTATCAGGAGTGACCGCCTCGATTTCAGCGGTCGATTAGGAAGAAAAAGAAGCGACTTGTTGAGGAACAAATTTGGATGTTTTGGCCATTGTTATTTGAGAAAAAGCTTGAAAGGTCTAAGAAATGGTTTTGAAAAATGAAGTGTCAAGTGTTCTTATTTGGGTAAAGACTAGGTAAAAGCCCGGAAATTCCTAAGAAATTTTGAAGAACGGAGGTAAATATATGGAAGTATGAAGAAGGTGAGTAACAACTTTAAGAATCGAAGGTAGAAGCTTGGTCAAATGGTGAAAAATGAACGAAGAATGAACGCTTTTATAGAGGTTTCGTGACGCTTCGTATTCAGAGGTGACCTGTCGATGGCTGACACGTGCTCAAAGCCAGAACGATGCGACTGACGGGATGTTTCGGTTTCTTTGTCGTTTCTGTTGCAGCGTATTAAAGAAGGAGGTGAAAAGCATTAGTCGTTTCTCATTGTTTTGGTAAACCTCCTCTCTAAAAAACGAGAGGACTATCTGTATACGGGTAAAATCGAGCTCGTTGAACATCTCGGTTTCCCGGTAAGACAAACGGGGCTGGAACGTGATCATATGGCATCAGGGTCTGGGCGAAAAACCTCTCACATCGGGGATCGAGCATAACATCCGCCCTCAAAAGCATCGGGGCCACATCCCCCGGGCCTGATTCGAGTCTCTCAACTTCGAAGAGCATTACCAAGCGGTCAAACACGACTAACAAAGAGTCGTGACATCCGTGCCCAACCGGATGTCACAGCGTAAATCTCGACCCGTATCAACAGTGAATCAGTGACTAGCATAAAGAAAGATTTTTGTCCTATTTTAGAATTGTACTTAGGGTGAAACTCCCCTACTATATAAAAGGGAAACTAATTGTTCATTAAACACATTGTAACTTGCATATCAAGGCAATATACTCTTATTCTCTCTCTTATCCAAAATTCATACTTTTGTTCATCAATATTTCATTAGTGTAAGCCCGGGGTCAAAGGCAGGCACTTCGTTAAACCCTTACTGAGTCCGGGATCACTATCCTTATTGGTTTGATAATTTATTACGTCTTTTACTCGTTTAATCTAATGTCATTTTTCATTTGTATTAAATTAATCCGTATATTCTTAAAACCGCATATAAATTCAATTGTTATCCATTTTTAGGGTAAACAATATTCTAATTGTTTTATTTTAGAGAAGGCATTATATGTATGCTAATTCAATCATTGAAGTTAATTAAAGTCTAAATATCAATCTCGTAACTTGAACGTACAAGTTTGTGAAAAAAACTGTAAGATAGTTTGTTATTTTGAAATTGGGAAGCGTAGGATTGTTCTTACATCATCGGAAAGAGAAAAGTCTCTTTTGGAGCCTTTTGAGCGCTTGTCAAATTCAACTCTCATTAGAAAACAGCAATTTATTTTTATGACAACTGACAAGTTTATTATTTATTGTTCATTATATTTTCGTTTATTGATATGTTATTAAAAACTTGCGGCCAGCTGTAAGATTCTCCTACTCTTAGCTTTAAAATTACGATAAAATACGTCGTGATGTACATGTTCTTTCTTTAGAATAATGTGTTATCAGTGTCAATATTCTTAGTCGGACTTAAAATTTTGAAGTGCATGAATTCTAAAGTTTATACAAGTGTCTTCAAGCAAGTACAAATATATTGGGTTAGACAGAAAGCGTAAGTTGCCTTCTAGCTCTGGTTACCCTAACCAGTGCCCAGTAAAATCCACTATAATTGATTAAGTGGGCGTTTGGAGAATTGTAAAATTTCTAAAACAAAGTGAACAAAAATTTGATAAAAATGGTATTTGAAAATTAGAGTTGTATTTGGATATGAATATAATTTTGGGCTGTTTTTTATTTTTGTGAGTGATCTAAAGTGAAAATTTTGAAAAATAGAGTTTTTTTTTTTTTTTTTTTTTTTTTTTTTTTTTTTTTTTTTTTGAGTTTTTCAAATTTTTGAAAAAATTCAAAATTTATCTTCAAAGTGAAAATCAAAAATTTTATCGCCAAACATTGATTTCGGAAAAAGGAAAACAAACTAAACGGGCCCTAAATGTGTTTTTCAATCACTATCAGCTGAATCAGTAAAATCTAAATTGACCATTATCGAGTTTTCTATATGAGTAGTAACATTTTTTGTGTAAGAAATTTCATACTATGTTATTCTCAGTCTCAGGGATATGATCTCTAACTATCTTTGAAGTCAGTCTTGGCGCAACTAGTAAAGTGGATGTCGTGTGACCAGGAGGTCCCGGGTTCGAGCCGTGGAAACAGTCTCTTACAGAAATACAGAGTAAGACTGCGTACAATAAACCCTTATGGTCCGGCTCTTCCACGGACTCTACGCATAGCGAAAGCTTAATGCATCGGGCTGATTTTTTACTATTTATATAGTGGTCCAAGAGAGAAAAGCATAAACAAAAGCTTCCTTGTAAGCCTTGGAATCTCAACTTCTCAAATCCATGGCTAATGGAGCTGAAAGTAATACTAATAAGCTTCACGTAGTTATGTTTCCTTGGCTAGCTTTTGGTCATATTGTACCATTTCTTGAACTTTCCAAATTCATTGCTCAAAAAGGTCACAAAATCTCTTTCATTTCAACCCCAAGAAATATTGATCGTCTCCCTAAACTTCCCCTTGAATTTTCTACATCCATAACTTTTATCAAAATCTCACTTCCCAAAGTTGATGGCTTACCAGAAAATGCAGAGGCTACTATGGATATAACAACTGAAGAAATCATTTATCTTAAAAAAGCAATGGATGGTATGGAAAAAGAGGTGACTAATTTCTTGGAAAAGAATTCACCTGATTGGATTATTCAAGATTTTGCACAATATTGGTTGGCTCCTATTTCAGCCAAGTTAGGAATATCACGTATTTTCTATTGCATAATTAACGCTTGGTTTATTGCTTTCTTTGGTACAACGGAAAATATGATCAACACCAACTCAGGACCACCGCCTACGGTGGAGGATTTCTTAGTTCCACCAAAATGGATACATTTGAAACAAAGGCGGCGTATCGCCGCCATGAGGCACGGTGGATAGTGGGGTCCAGCCAGAAGAATGTTTCTGGCGTTTCGGATCTTTATCGTAACGGAGTAACAATGATAGGAGCAGACGCTACTATTTTTCGTCATTGTCATGAGTTTGAAGGTCAGTGGTTAAAGTTATTAGAAGATCTTCACAATATACCGATAATTCCTTCGGGTTTAATGCCACCTATGGTGGAAAATAATAACGACGAAAAAAATTATCAATCTTGGATATCGATTAAAGAATGGTTAGATGAGAAACCCAAAGGTTCAGTGGTTTATGTAGCACTAGGGAGTGAAGTGACTATTGGTCGTAATGAAATTAATGAGCTAGCTCTTGGGTTGGAGTTATCTGAATCACCGTTTTTTTGGGTCTTGAGGAAGCCTTCTGGGTCAGGAATTACTGACCCGATCGAGCTTCCGGAGGGTTTTGAGGAAAGAATCAAAGGTCGAGGCATAGTATGGAAAAGTTGGTCACCTCAGTTGAATATACTAAGTCATGACTCGGTCGGCGGATTCTTGACTCATTGTGGATGGAGTTCGATTATAGAAGGGTTAATGTTTGGTCATCCATTAATTATGTTACCATTTTTGGTTGATCAAGGACTGAATGCTAGAATTCTAGAAGATAAAGGGGTTGGTGTAGAAATTCCAAGAAATGAAGAGGATGGGTCATATACAAGTGATTCAGTGGCCAACTCGGTTAATTTAGTAATGGTTGAAAATGGAGGAAAGATAATTCGGGAGAAAGCAAAAGAAATGATTTCTATATTTGGAAACAAAAATCTTCATGATAAGTACATAGAAAATCTGATTGAGTTCTTGGAAAATTATAGGAATGTATCTAATCAACATATATCTAATTAGATCTTAATGTAAGACAAAATAAAGTAACCAGTTCGGTGAAATTTAGCCTGCCTTTGCTTTTTCCGATTTTTGTTATTTTTGGTATTCTTTGAAGGTACTACTGATGGTGATGTTACATCCAGATACGATGTTTAGATTTTTATGATTTTTAATTATTTTTTATTGTCATTTGTGTGTTATTGTCTCTTCCCTTTTTTTCTTTATTAGCTGAGGATTTTTCGGAAATAATTTTTTCGCCTTCTTAAAGGGAGAGGTAAGGTATGCGTACGCTCTACTTTCCCCAGACTTAACTTGTGTATTATACTAGATTGTCGTTGTTGTTATTGTTATTGTAATTGTTTTTCATTGCCTTTGGTTCACGTCGCTATAACCTTTTCATTTTGACAACAAATTTACGAAGTATTTTTTAAATTTTTTTATATTATTATATTATGGAAAGCGAGAGGGAAAAGATGCTATGTTAAAGATGAAATTTATAATTTTTAAATACAGTCAAACTTCTCTATAACATTATTTTTATATAATAGTCATTCATTATAAATGCTAACTTTTTTTTGGAATCGATTTTTATGTTATGTTACAATGTACGTCCTCTATAATAACACTTCACTAAATCAACAAAAACAAATATCGAAACAAACGAGATTGTTATATAGAGGTTTGATTGTACTAAAACTTCAATCCTTTTTCAAGTAAAATATACGTTCAAACACAATTTTAATTTTCAAAAATTATTTTTTATTTTATCTTTTAAAGTTTCAACTAAATTTATGTCCATTCGCTAGGGTTGTACATAGCACGTGCCTAAATCTATGTCCATTAGCTGGCGTTCAGATTTTAAAAATTATGAGTTTAAATTTGGCATACTATTAATAGATCATTTAATTTATTGAATTTGAAATAATATGTAGATTCACCACTGACTCTACAGTACTCTTTACTTTTCTATTGTGCGCGCAGAGCAAGTGGCCACATCGATATAGGTCAGAATCTCTTTATTATTTATTTTAGTTTTCTAATAATACAAAGAAGCTTATAAATTCCATTTTGAAGAGAGTACTTTAAATAGAAAGAGAAATCTCCATATGTGGAAATTATTTCATATTTGTTCATTTATTTTTTTGTTTCAAGAATTTCTTTGAAAGAAGATTTTGTAATTTCCCATTATTTCATGTCTCCTAAAAACAAATTGTTTATGTTAGCAATAGCCGCAAGAGTTTAGCCGAGTGTTCAATGAAAATAATTTGAGAAAATGACCCTCTATGACCTCAAAATTTTAATAGCCCATATTTTTTTTCGTTGACACGAAATGTTCCTCCGACCCAAACATATTACATCTAATAGCCTGAATTTGTATATTTTTTGTATAGTATCAGTCTATTTTGTATATTTTTTGTATAGTGATAGTCTATTTTGTATATGTTTTGCATAGTGACAGTCTATATAGTATATGTTTTGTATAGTGACAGTATATTGTATATATAAATTATACAGTGACTGTATATTTTTTGTATAGCAACAGTCTTTTTTGTATATATTTTGTATAGTGACATCTATTTTGTATATTGAATGACTACGATGTGTAAACAATATATATACATTTTGTACTAGTGTGCACATGAACTGTAGTATAGTAAAATATTTGAAAGATTCTAGCTTTGTTGTATCAAAATTGTATATTTTTTGTATAAATAATATTATATGTTGTATATCTTTTGTATAGTGAGATTTGTAGTTGTATATTCTTTTTTGCATAGTGATCGTATATAGTTTGGATATAATTTAAATCACTTTAGTTTCGGAAAAGCGGAGAAGTAATGATTATACAAGTGCTCCCAATTGTAGTGTTCTCTAAAATTTTAATTATTCATTAATCACTGCACATCTTGGACTCCTATAGGAAAAGGCACAAATCAATTTATTGCCATTATCTTTTTCAAAGTTTGAATTTAAATGCTATACCAATGTGTATAAAAAGAATGTTATGTCTCAAATATGTATAACTATTGTGTACACGACACCTGTCCCTTTTGTCCCTTCTTTGAGTTGACAAAAATAAATATTTATAATAATTTTTTTTTAATATCTCTCATAAATATGTATAAAATATCAATATCTAAATAGCATAAAAGCCAAAAAAGAATCAAATGATGAATGATTCCCTCTGAAGAAATTAAAAGTCAATCTCAATAGTTTACCTTGCAATTCTCCTGCCTTCATCTCCCGTTATTTTTTCATGCCAGTTGGGTTTGTTAATTTTAGTGGCTAGTCATTAGAATTGGTTCTGGGCTATAAAGTGCATATTATAATTTATGGCCAGCGGATGATATTAGTTTCTAGTGAATGGCTAGTAATGAATTTTGCTCAAATAATTTTAAGTTATAACTTATAAGGCTGCTATATTTTAATAATTCAGGTCCATATATGTTTACACTTAATCTACTGGCACTAGGATCTTTGTCAACCTCCACTATGGTAAAAATCGACAAGGAGTATACGAATTAGTCTCCGAGTAGGGCAAATACTTATTCACATTGGTAGGGTGTTTACATCAAATTAAATAATTTAATCATAATAATTAAAATTAAAATAAGAATACATCATATCTAGTATAGTTTTTGGTGTTGCATCCTCTAGAATCTGACGGGTATTTTCTGGCGTTTCTAGTTAAAATTTTCCTTTCTTCTTAAATCTGAAAGTCAGGTGTTGTTAAATAGATGACTAGACCAAAAATGCATACTTTTATCAAACTAAAAGGACCAACAGTGCTACAAAAATATTCAAAGGGACAATTTTATATTTACCTTAAACATAAGGGACCATTTTGGTCATTTCCTCCATTTGGTTTAAACATTGAATTGAGGACCTAATCAGATTTTGGCAAAAAGTCTGGATCATATTTGTGATTTACTCTGGAAAAGTTGCCCGACGAATGAGCTTTGATTTGATTGGATTGAAACTTCAGCCCATAAAAGATAAATTGGACTGACTCATATATATATTACCGTGGGCTTATTTGGGCCAGTCTCAGTTGAGATCTCCTGAAGACTGTAAAAATAGTACGGGCTGCCAGTTTTCGGACTGGTATATGAAAAATAGCCAGCATTTACAAAATCATTGAAAAATAATCACTATTTTGCTACAACAAAGAAAGTTCCAGCATAATATACTGGAGATTGGTGCACCTGTGTATGAACTTCCAACATATTATGCTGAAACTCCATCACACAGAAAGTTTCAGCATAATATACTGGAGATTGGAGCACATATGTATGAACTTCCAGCATATTATATTGGGACCAGTATATTATACTAGAATTTTAGTATATTATGATGGAAGTTCACATGTAAAAAATTCAAACTCCAATATATTATACTGGAATATTTTTCGAATTTTGAATAGTGTTTTCGTCCAGATTTATCTTTACATGAAAAATGCCTAAATTTCCATTACTTTTGAAATTGTGACTATTTTTCAATTACCACTTGTAAATCTGGCTATTTTTGAATTACACAGTCTTCTCGGGCCCATAGACCACTAAATTGTAAAAATTAGCCCCGAAGGACAGTTTATGGACCGCTTGTGTTAGTATTTAGCAACCGTTTAAAATACCATTTATAAATAGCCACTTTTAAAGGCAAAAATAACATTTAGACAAAGAAAACCCCTAACTATGCCCTGTCTCATCTCATTGGGGAAAGTGCACAGATAGTTATTCTTAGGGATGCTATTTAAAGATTAGCCAGTAGTTATATTTTAAATTAAAAATCTTAACTTCAGGACAATTCATGACATTTTTGTCCTGAAAAACTAAAATTCAGGACGCACTGGCTCTAAATATCATCCCCTTAGAGTGGCTAGCTGGTATAATTTCTACCATCTCGTCTTGCCCTGCCTAGGGGTGTTCATAAAAACCAGAAACACCGAACCAAACCGACCAAAAAAACCGATACTTTTTAGGTTTGGTTTGGTTTTGATTTTGAATTTTAAAAACCGATC